TAAAAGTTAAAAATAAAAACTTATAATTGTCCGACGGCTGTTGTTATTTTTATTATTGTTGCTCATTTATTTTTGGAAATAGACGTTGAATTTGTTTATATGGAGTAAAAATAAATTATTGCGCGTAGAGCGAGAGCAGTGGGCCAGCATAATTTCTCGCGGCGTTCGATTGAGGATCTCTATCTGTTGTGAATCGCAAGCGGAATCGGTACGGATCGGCTCGGAATGAAAATATCGAACTCGCAAACGGATCTGATTTGAATATCTGCCAGTGGCAGTGCCTGTGCCTTTGCCAGAGCCGAAATTCCGAAAACCGAAAAACTGAAGAAGCGGCGCTGCGGACGCGTACAAACGTACTGACGGATACGCCGCTGTTGACGTCGTAACGCCAAGTACGCACACACAGATACGCCCGCGCACACACTTGCAGATACAGGCTCTCTCTCAGCCCCACTCGCACACACACTCACTCGCGTTGAGGATTTTCGTTTCGTGGTGAACTCACAACTCACTCACACTTGCCCACCTTCTAACGGTGCCTTTTGTTTTTGCCTTTTTGTGTAACAGAATATCGCACACACACAGGAGAAGGGAAAAAAAGAGAGAGCGGGAGAAAGAGAGATGGAGTGCGCAGGCGCTGACTTTGAGTTTTCACTCACAACGAAAGCAAGAGTCAGAGAGAGGGGGAGTGAGTGAGTGAGTGCGTGCATGCGGGAGTCAAACGAGAACATATGGTTTTTGTTTGTGCCCCAGCCAGACACACACACACACACACACACCCTCACACTTGATCAATCAGCAACAGTTACAGTTATTTCACTCGCAGAGCTTGCCGTCCCGCTCTAGCACCCCCTCATAAATGTTAATTATCCCCCACATACCCATCACCTTCACTATTCCCCTGCTTAAACATCGCTTTGGTTTCCTTTTTTCCTTGTATCCGTATCTCTCTGCCTCCCAGGACCTCCTCCACCCCCACTCCCCCTCTCTTTTTTATTTGTGTGTATTTTACTTATTTGTCCTTGCCACTGGATCCTCTCTATAAACACCCACCCACCATTAGTTCTCCCCCCTCAACGCAGCTCAATAAAAACTTTGTTGACCTGCGTTTGGCAGCACAAAAAAGAAGCAAATAAGAATGCCAAGCGATACTCACTACTCATTACCCTGTTACAAAATTTGTTGCTTATTTACAGGGGTTGCCATGCCTTTTATAAAAATGTACAATTTTTGATAAATATCTTTATATATCTTAGGGCTATTAGAAAATATTATTTGTCTGACTTTTAACACAAAATTTCTTTCTTCTTCATGGTACTTTTGCACAAACACAACACACCTTTATACTATCCGATTAATGGGTATATTAAATACACAAAGCACAAACATTTTGAGCTAGTAAGAGCGGAAAAGAATGAAAGCCAGGGGATCCTGGGATCCTAGGGCGGGTGGCAACCAACCATTCATTGTTTCTGCTCGATTGATGATTGCCTATTCAGACAGAGGTAAAGTAGTTACATGCCAGAAGTTTGGGGCTTAATTTGTGAATGCGACTCCCCAGCCAAGTGGGATTGGGATCCAAGCCCCCTGTGACCCAGACCCCGCCTATTGTTCCGTTAAGCGGGATATTATTTACGTTAAACACGCTCTGTTATGCAGGTTACGCAGGATAACTGATAACAAACTAAGGATACAGGAACCCCCACTTGAACTCAATAGAGTTTAGTAGAGAATAAAATTCGATTTTTTTTAGGGATTGGGAAAGCTTTGTTTTTTTTAGCCTCCTTGTATTAAGGACAAATAGAACCTTCAAGTCATTTTAAAAATTTAAAAAATTATACAAACTTTTTTTTTAGGCGTAGGTGTCAATGGCATATAACAGCTTACCATCTTTTCTTCACAAATAGTTTGAGTAAAAAACCTTGAGTTATATAAATGATTGTGCATTCATTTTGATACTACTATTAGTTGTTCATATAAAGATTGGAATTACATGTTTCCAATAATATATTTTGTTGACAGATTAGAGTGATAGTTAAAGCCCAGACAAAGGATTTCGAAGGGGGCTAGTGCTTATTGCACTTGCAGTTAAATAGGCGCAACTTTAACGTGACTTCAAGAGTAATATGCAAATGCCAGATGCCACAGATATTTCCCCGTCCTCGTCGACTGAGTGGATTCTGTAAAAATCACGCATAACCGATCCCAAGTGCAGCGCGACCACGTTACCCGTTTTATGGCCCTCGCCTCTCGTCGGCGCCACAATGTTGCAGGCTGAGAGGCCAGCATTGCTGCTGCTCCGATCCATGTGTGTATATCGGACGATCCCAGTTCGCACATCCCACATCCCAGAACCCAGAATTGAGAATCCAGTGTCCTTGTGACTTTTAACGCTTACACTGGGTGCGACAACTGCCAACTGCAAACAGTCGTCGACAGTCTTAATTCAATAAACGCCGCCCGGTGATTTGCGCATGACCATGCACCCTGGATGCTGCTATTTGGTCTCTGGTCTCTCGTCTCTGGTGTATGCTGAATGCTGCATGTTGCATGCACTCAACACATGTGCAACATGCGGCAGCAGCAGCAGCACCGATCTCTCAATGTGTTGAGTCGGACTTAACTGCTTGGCAGGGGTTTCTTCAGGGGGATCTTCAGACACCGACACCCCAAGCCAAGCCAAGCCAAGCCAAGCCAAGCCAGGCGACCACGTGAAACCCCACTCCACTGCCACTGGCACTGCCCTCCTTCGCTGTTTTTGTGTAAACGCTGCGTAGGTAATTTCATAAATCTCATTCAAATTGCCCTTCCTGCACAGAGTACCCAGTACCCAGTACCAAGTGTATTCGGAGGGTTGTAAGCATACGGAATTACAGGGAAAACATCTTTTTAATTGCTTGCCGAGATTTCGAAATTGAAAAATGTCTGCGGTGGTATCAATTATGCAAATGCTACTTCCCGAAAAAAAAAATGTGATGGAAGCCAGGCGAAGTTAAGCTCAAGTAATTGGTCTTCATGCCGGAAAAAGAGAGGGTTTAGATGTCGCCATTAGCATTGCCTAATTACATTTCAATTGCACGACTTAAACGGGCTTAAGGCCCCGACTTGCTGAGTAATTCATAAAAATCTCAATCAATTTCCCCGGGCATTGAGTGCAATTTAAATGTGATTAAATGCGAGCTTAAGGACCCTCCGAGCACTCCACCTCTACATCCCCTGAATTTCGCCTAATCTAATCAATTTTTCCCAGCGTCCTCAGCTTCAGCTTCAGCCTCGGTTTCAGCTTCAGTTTCAGTTTCTGCCTGTCAGTCTGAATAATTCCACCTTAACACGTGTGTCATTGCGGGGGCGAAGGATCGAGGGACTTGGCGACGGTGAAAGCATTTCTCTGTTTGCATGACTGATAAGTTGCCGGTGAAGAAGAGCCGACCGATACATCCTGACCCCAATTTGCCTCCATAACCTTGCTTTTCAGCCTGATTAGAATGCGAAAACTGCCTCTAATTGGCTTTGACTGTCATCCCGACTTGCAATTAGGCATTGCCCAACAAATAAAAAAACCTTCCAACTGCTCTGGCCTACGGTCCAAAAAACTGTCAACCAATTTCCCTTGTTACCACACAGTTTCTCACACTCAACACTTTGGCTGTTTTAAGGTGGTTGGGGATAATGGCACATATTTAATGCGAAAACTCTTTTTTTGGGGCAAGGACGAGCTGCAAAAAGGTTTATAATTGAATCGGCTGGCAAACAGTCAAGGTGAGCTAATTGAGTCGCTGCTCATTCATAAGTTGGTCCATTGATGGACTCATAAAGTGTATGCTGTAGTGTCTATTAAGTGGAATATAATTCACAGAGCGACAGTGAGTTGGGTAATAATTTCCAAATCATTCGGAATACGTGGAAAACACACTGTGTGGGTGGCATATCAATCAATGTTATTTATGCATATCCCAGCTGACAGTGGAGCCAACTCGACAACACACTAAAACATTCATGTACAGCGGAAAACTAAGACTCGACCTTTTAGTGTGAGTTAGCTGGTGGCCTCGACTGCTTTAATGTTTGGCAATGGCAAGCGATTTAAGTCACATTTCAGCTTGTAAAAACCCTTTTAGTCGGAAAGTAGGCTATAAATAACGTGCAAAGTTAATGAAAGCGTTGATTCATACTTTTATAAAGTCAAATATTGATTTAGTCAGTCTGTTTAAAGGAATATTTGCTGATAAACTCAATTAAATTATGCAGTAAAATATATCTTAACTAAACGCATTGGCGTAAAGCTAGCTTACTTAGTAAGAGGTTTGATTATTTTCTTCATAAGACTTTAAAGCCATTCAAACAAAAACTATCAACAACCTTAAACCTTTTATTTTACAATTTCCTGCAGCTACTTTGTGTTACTACGAAACATTGTTTATTGTGATTTGAAGATTATAAAGAAGGAAACTTGTTGCCTATGTATATTTCAGCGATAAATAAAAATCCAGCGTGTGTTGTTTAATGTGCAGTCTAATGTAAACACTACCGTCCCTTTTTTCCATCCAACAAAAACTGAACTTGTGAAAAACAATACCGAGCATCCTGGCTGGCGAAAATGGGAAGGGGAAAACTGGTGGCAAGAGCAGACAGGCAGACAGGCAGACACACGGAAATTGACAACTCGCAGAGCAATAAAGAAAAGTGTCCCATACACGCACACACACACGCACACACAGCGGGAGAGGTAAGTGAGGGAAATGGTAAAACAGAGGGGGGTTGCGGTGGGCTGATAAGTTTATACAATTTCCATCCACAGAACTTGAGTTATGCCCCCACATAACACAATATTTCCCTAATGCCTTTATTATGTTCCATTGAGTGTAAATATTTTCCTTGTGCACACACACACCCACACACTCTCATCGTGTGTGTGTGTGTTAGCCAGCTTCATAATACGTGGCACGTGCTGCCTAAGAAGGTGAAACAAGCCGAAAACAAAACAGGTTCTAAGGACTCACCTTCGGGAGCTTGCCTTCAGCAGTTTGCCGACACAACAGGTACAAAAGTTTGCGCTGCAAGGAAGCGGAAAAGAAGGAAGAAAATGTAAATTAGAAATTAGAAAAGTGGGAAACACTCTCGAGGCGACTCAAAAAAAAAAAAAACGCCTCTCGAAAACGCGACCATGTCGCTGGCGATTTATGACGCTCAGTTCAATGCACACGCGTTCGCCGTTGACCTCCTGCATCGCGTTGTTTGTGCGCCCCCAGAAGCCCCACAAATCGGTGGCAAAGTCGGGGTCCGCACATGTGCGGCATACCCCCTGCTAAAAACAACGATACAACGAAACAACGACTCAAAGTGTGGATAGCCGAGAACCGAGAACCAAGAAGCTGCATGAGCCGCAGACGACAAGTGAGCAGAGCGGGTTTAAAGTTGAAAGGATACCATAAATCTTGTAAGCTGATGCAAAGCGACATTCGCCCGTGGCTTCGGGCAAAGTCGAGGCCCCTGTAGAGCCGCAAAGCAAAAAATCGGGTGTTTCAGGCGGGAAAAAGGGGGGTGACGGAACTGATGAGCCATCTGAAGACTCAACAAGTGACACAGCGAATTGTGGTGGCGCTGAATGAGCTTCTGGATAAGAGGCGGTGATATATAGGACGCACTCAACCCCATAAACATTTGGCTAGAAAAAGGAGACTCAAGCAACAAAATACCCTAATTTTATAGCAACACGGGCTTAATACATTATTCACCCACAAAACCTCTTAAGTATTCACAAATTATATTCAACGCTTCCTTAATAATTCTGAAGTTATCGAAATATAAAACCTAGCTAAAACCTATAAATTTAGCAAAGTTATGTTGTTTTCAATTTGATGGTATTGTTTGTTGCTCTTCTTCTAAATCTTGTGATAATTTAAATTGTTATTATTGTTATTGTTAATTTTGGAATTCTCAGTTTTAATTTTTAATAAGAGCAGCTTTTGTGGTTTATACATGAAAAATTGTATATAAAAATTGAATGAATTGTATCTAGAAATTGAATGAATCGACGCCTTAGCCACTCTGTTTTTAAACACAAAACTTAAATCTTCTTATTAAAATAATAGCTTTATGTTCCCACTTTTCATTTAACATTAGAATCCTCCCTTCTTATCTGTATCTGTAAACCCTAAGAAGTATTTCCCCGCTTGCAAGTTGAAAGGACCTCGCGCACAGCTGTTTATTGTCCCCTGTCGCGTCGCAAACGATTCTAAAACTATGTTCAATCAGATGTTTGTTGCATAAACGACTTGAAGGAAATCCCAGATCAAATGAGGCACATTTCCCCGAGCTAGATGGACTGCATTACCACTCCCGCTGCTGCCGGTCTCAAGTGGCCGCATCCTTTGGCTGCCTTGGCTGCCTTGGCTGATTTGGATGGCGATGCAGACCGTTTCCTGGTCTGCCAGTTGCAGTTGCCGAGCCAGAAGTCAAATGGCATATCTAGCATAACATTCTATTCGAGTGCGGATTCTCTGGCCGGGAATGTCTGGGCATCGGAATGGAGCAACCCGGGCCACTTGAGCCCCGTGTGCGTCTGTTTCTGATTCTGTTTCTGATTCTGTTTCTGATTCTGTTTCTGTTTTTGTGCAGGAGCCTGCAGCCACATTTTATTGTTGTCTTTCTCACCTAAAGCCAACTGAAGCGGCAGCAGCGGCCATAAGGCGCATCGATGTAGAAACATCTTATGGTTTTCCATACACTTCGAGAAAAAAAGTACAATGGAAAGCGATGAAAAAAGCAGAATGGTTTAAAATTGCATCATTGGCTTAAGGTTAGTATTCTTAAAAGAACAAAAAATAAAATAACTGTTCCTTTTATTATGTTGTATTATTTTTAAAAGTTATTCCAAATTGCAAAAGTTCTTCCAGCAAACACAATAGATCTATTTTTGTTTTTTTATTTTTAAGGAACTCTTGAGTTTTAATTTTTTTTTATTTCTTATCTCTATAAAGAACTATATATTCTTAGTGTAGTTTATGTGAGTACGCACAATATACCTACATATGTTTGTATTTTTGTGCAAGTACTCGCAATGTTTCCTTTGATTTTTTTACTTATTGGGTACCCGAAAGTACAACAAAGCCAAGACATAGACGTAGTTCAAGGGGGTTAAGCATTTGGTAAGGAAACATAATGTTTTAGAGGGAAAATATAGGGAAATATCTCTATAGAGGGATTCAGGGACTTGGAAGTTTAGAAAACCCCTCCGAGCCTACACCCCTGAAGCAGCACACACACACACACACACGGATAGGTTCACCGACATGCATCTCTGCCGTACGCAAATGTTATTGACGTGGCGGGGCATCAGAATATCAGACCATCAGACCATCAGACCGTCAGACCGTCGCCCAGACTGACAGGCAGCCAAAAGGAGGAGGGGGAGCGGTGTTTGGCATGGGAAGGAGGCAAACTGCTGCCACTGATGTTACCGTTAAAAGAAATGCAATTAAAATGAGTCTCTCTAGACCCCTGAAAACTTCGGGCAGCCGTAGCACCCGTAGCACTCGTAGCACCCGTAGCACTCGTAGCATCGGCAAACGGAAGCAATTAGTAAACTGAGCGGGGCACATACATACATATATCCGAGAAGAACCAACTGAAGCCGAGGGGTAATCCATGGCAAATCTCTTGGCAGCACCGCACCACGCGTGCTCTACGTGGCTTTTTTCTTTCCATTGGGGATCGTGCGGCCGAAGGTACAAATACGCGGCTCTGTATATCTGTAAATCCCACTCGACACAGGGAGGAATGCACTCGGAAACCGGGCACCGAGGAGTACAGACAATCCTTTGGCCATGGTCACACCCCCCGTCCAGCCCACCTATGTGTGCTGTGTGTCCCTCGCTGTTCGACACGCCTTTGGGGACATGCTCAAGAAATCATAATTTTTCAATAATTCTGTTTGTCATATTCGGTTTGGGGTTACACAGCTGGGACGGGAGAAAATGGGATAGAAAAACAATTGATCGAGGGGCGGGGAAGCTATATATAGACAAGAGGATGCCTTGGAGATCCATAGGACTATTGGAAATTTGGATTTTCGCGATTGAGTTGGTAAGGAATGAATCAAGATCGTACTTATTCCAAAAAAAAACCCTGTGAACTCCAAATGTGATTTATATCTAGGATGTCTATTAGTTTGTCAAGTATTTGTTAGAAGTTAGAGACATTTGTTAACAGGCGTACGTATGCGACTAACTTGTTAGTTTTTCCTTTCAAGATGTTCATAACTAGTGATTAATGTACCACAGGTAGGATGGGTTACTCATGCTACATTTTCAAAATGTTTTCCTAAAAAGGAACAATCAAAACAGCCAGTCCAGCCTCCGTTTTTCGATTGGGGGGGCCAGATTGTCTGTCTGCATTTTCTGGACCACCCAGACGAGTGGTAATGCAAAACAGCAGAGCAATATGGAACATATAGAAACCGATAGGAAAAGCAAACATAAAATCTTAAATCGGTATAAACATGGGAACCAGCAGAACCAGACCAGCAGACAGACTGACAATGATGATGATGCAAACGCAGAGAACTATATCTATAACCGCATCTACGAATGTGGCTGTATGGCTATAGCTGTTCGTGGTACGATTTTAGCCGCGGCACGTGCCCGCGCGTTTTCTGTAAAAATAAAACTCGGGCCAATAACATTTTCGGTTCGAATCGATTGTTTACTTGGCGCTTGCAGAAAATTGATAATATTTGGGCGTCTCAAAGGGGGTGGCTACCTGTTGTTGTTGTCTCTGATCCGCTGGCCAGTTCATTCACAAGTTAAATTTAAAACAAAAACCAAAACAAAATCTTAAATTTAGTTATGGCCAACGAGGGAAAATCTATAAAAATCTATAGAGATTTTGAATTTAGTTTTTTGTCTCTTCTCTGGCTGATTTTGATTTTCTGTTGTTTTCGTTTTTGTCTGTATCACGATCAGCGATATTCAAAATGGCGATCACTGGGGAAATGAGCGCATGCGCAAAAATCGAACAAAAAAAACTCACCTCAGCGGAACCCACCTCTCGCCTGCCTTCGCGAGTATGAGTGTGTGTTTGTGTGTGTGTGTGAGTGCTGACGCCATTTGCATTTCGGTCTAAATATAGACAAAGTGCTCGCCTCGATCGCCAGTCTTCCCCCCCTTTTTTCCACCCATTCTACACACCTCTCTCTACGATCTACGTTGGTGTGTGTACTCACATTACGCTACGCTGCTTTGGTCCCTCTCGCGGTGTACACGTATGAGTCTTCCCCTCGCCTTTCTTCCCCACAGTTACACTCGAGCCCCTGCCAAACTACATTGGTATGGGTTCGCTGATTAAATTTCAGTTTTCTTCAGCAATTCTTCTCTTTCGAAATTTTCCAATCTTTTTACACAAGATTTTGCAATGGCTGCTCCCGTGTGGGGAAGAAAGGGGTGGTGAAAAACAGTGGACGGGGAAGACAGGTGCTGCCAAAATGCGTTACGAAAGCGCCTCGATGTGTAACTGCAAAAAGAAGACACATGCGGTTTCTGCTCCTCCTCCTTCTCCTTCTCCTCCTCTGCTACTATATATCCTATATTGTCCGCTCTACCAGTTGCTGTCCATGTCAGCTAACAGCGTCTGATGTCTGTCGTCGCCAATTGCGCAGCTGCAGATACACATATGGACGGATACAGATACAGATACAGATACGTTTACAGATGCAGATACAGATACAGATTCAAACGAAGAGGAAAGAGGAAAGAAGCGAGCGAGAGGATGCCACTGTTTGTTATACTGACATTCCGTATAAACAAATATCTGTGTATATATCTTCTTTTTGTTGGGGCCAGGCCATATCGCAGTATTGGCCCCTTTGCTCGTATTTCTTGACTGGCTAGCTGGATAATCCCGACAGCGGAAAGCACATGGAAATCGTAAAGTCTATATGTGTGCGCTTTAGATCGATATATGATCCGGAGCTATGCGATATTGGTAGGAAACAACAAATGAATTGAAAAACACGCCACGGAATGCACCAATTCGCTTTTTGTCTTTGGCGTTTCTAGATATCTGACCATATCTTCAGGTGCAGCAATAAAAATTAAACATATTTATAAAACAGAAACTAATATAAGATAATAATAAATTTATTTATTTCATTAATAACTTTTTTTAAACAAACTAACATGTACATAAAATGTATACTTTATTAATTTAACCGAAACATATCAATATCAATCTTTAGATCTTAAAATGTATAAGCAAAAGAAATCATACGATTAAACGATCCTTTAAATTCTTTTTTCAAATATATTATATCCTAGCGTTTCAAGAAATACTTCTATCAGTATTTTTTTAAAAACAATATATATATTTTATCTATTTAAAATTAAAATTAATAACAATATGAAAGAACGGTCCTAAAGTCCTCTTTGTATCAATGTAATTATTTTCAAGCGTTAATATATAACAACAATCTATTTTTTAGTTTTGAAAAAAAGTCGTTTGATTTGTTTTTTGGTTGTTGCCCCCATGTACTGTGGTGAAAGTCTTTTTTTATTTTATGAAATGGAAAGACCAAAGGACCCATAAAATTTGTATTTGCACCGAAACAATCTCGATTTCCTCGCAATTGAATTGGATCATTTTCAAATTGAATTAAATTCATTTCTTTTGGCATGCTCCCCTCAACATTACATTTTATCTACGCTAAAACAATTTTAATTTGCATACAGCACTTGCCAAAACCGAAAAGCGAAAATAAAGAAAACAAGAGACGAAGAGCCGCAGAATGTTGCAGAAAACTAGAAATTGTTGGTAGTTTTTTTAGTTGTATTTTTTTTTTGTTATTTTTTTTTGTTTTGCTGGCTACTGTTGCTGCGGTTGCTGTACCCCATGGATGGGATGGATCTGATATTTTCACGCTTAATCACTAACTGTCCCTCTCGCCTGCTGCCGGTGATTGTGAGTGTGTGAGTGTGCGAGTGTGTATGTGTGACTGTGGCATGGCGACAACAAGACATGAAAAACATTTTGGCCCGCGGCCAAAATACTTAAAGCTGCAAATGAAATGACAGGGAACGGGACGACGACGACGACGTCAAGCAAAAACTGCACAAATGTCAAAGAGGGTCGGAAAATGGGGTGCGGAGGTGGGGGGTTGAAGTACCGGCAAAGGGAAACTTTAATTTCCCTTTATTGCGGTCGTCGAGTGCAATTATCGAGCGTAAACAAAAAGGAACCAAACGCAGGGCGAGGAAAACAAATTTCATCTTCAGGTGAATTTCTCCGGCCCCCTACTCTCAAGAATATACATCATATGTATATATGTATATACTCTATACGCACGCCGATGTGTATACATTTGGGAGACGCGTGCTTGAATACTCGATGATTCCCTGAACATATAAAAAAGAAAGCGAGCGAGAGAGGGCGAGACAGGAGGAAAAATTCAATGACGTTCGATATGATGCTCAAAGAAAAAAAATGTTAATGCACAGTGAAAGCTCGGCTGATATTTAATTAGTTGCAAATGCTGCTGCTCGTGCTGCCCTGCAATTCAAAACCATCAATATCTGCACGGAACTATGTAACACAATGCTTTGCTTTCCTTTAGAATTTTTCCCGCGGCCCTCGGCGTTTCCATGGCAAAAGGGAGGGAAACATTCTTGGCGAAAATGTTTCACGTTAATTGAAAGACCAAAGAGTATGGTATTGGATACTCGGATGACTGTGCGAGTGAGTGTGCCTGTGTGTGCCAGTGTGTTTGTGCGTATCACGCATACGCAGCTGTTGTTGTAGGTCTTGTTCGATCTGGTATTCGTAATCGCGGACTGCCCAGAATTCCGCTCGCTAGCCAAGAAAGCTACATAGTTCGCAACGAATTGGATACAACACTGAATACAGCATCACAACAAAGTATTATACCAGTTCATACAGGTCTGCGAGACAATACAAAAAATATCTACTAAAATGAAAATTCTTAAAAATGATTAATAATACATATAACGAAGATATGTTTTACCATGTGGGTCTAGTTGCAACAAATCTAAGAAAACAATTTGAAAGACTCTGCTTTAAGTATATGTATTAGTCTCCCTTTTATAATAGTGAGTTTAAAACTCAACAATTTAAAACAAAAAGAAAACAAAAACAAACAATTAGATTTGACAAAAGTATTAACATAATGTCCCCCTTTCTATAATGTCAAATGTTTTATTTTTCGAATTAAAACATATGCGAAGAATCTAACAATTTATTTTTACAAGAGTAACAACATAATGTTCCCCCTTTTATAATGTCAAAGGTTTTATTTTGAAATTTTAAAAACTTAATGTGAAATAAGAAACCAGATCTACAGAAACCTTATCCGCTCTTGTAACCAAGATACTTTTTACATCAAAACTTAAATTGCCAGTATGATAGCCTCTTCAATTAAAGTAGTACATTACCTAGTGGACTTACCTAATTCGGGAGCCAACTGACCCTGCAGTTTTCTCTCCAAAAGTAGATCTATGGCCCGTGCTCTACGGATCTACGGCCATCCTGTGGATATTTGTGTATAGTTCTAGAAAACCCGCGTAGATTCGCTATATTATGGATTTGTACATTGGTTTATTGTATGCAGTTTATGGGAACTGACATCGACGTTGACGCTGCCGCTGCCGCTTCCACCTGAGATTTGTTGTGTAACTGCAAGTGAAATAAGGACCGATATTAATCATTGCATAAAAAACATTTGTATCTTTTCAGGTGAAATGTGCGCAAATGTGAATCCCCCGCTGTGACGAGCCTACAAAAAATGCAACAAGTCGTGAGGTTTTTCCGGAGGGGTTTAAGGGGGGTGGCATTTGGGATGGCAGATAGTCACTTGCAGGATTCTCTTGTGTTGAGGGAAATGCGCGCGTGCTGTGCTCAACAAACGCCCACACAAATACGGAGTATCTCTGCGGCGATAGCAGTATCTGTATCTGCAGCTGTATCGGACTATGTGTATGTGTATTTGTATCTGCGGGCTGTGGTTGTGAGTGTCAGAATGCGTGGGTGGCTAATGAAATGCTTCAGCGACAACGGCAACAGCCACATCCACAGCCACAGCCACATTCACATCCCCAGCAGCAGACAATCGGAGGCTGCTGCTTCCCCATCCACCCAGGTTGCCATAGACTTGATCAGCTTTCTGTATATCATGGGTTTCCCGGGAGTAGCGTGTGTTTGCGGAGATGCCATTGTTGCGTTGCCATGGAATTTCCAATGAAATGGCTACCTATGGAGTGCCACAGACTGCCACCTCCTGTGGCCACTTCATAAAAATTAAAACTCCAAAAAACAGACGCACAAAATTCCAGTAGTCTTTTAAAGTTAACAATTGTTTTCGGTCCATGGTTTTGTGTACTTTAAAGCCAAGTCATTGAAGCCCTTCAGTTTCATCCCAATTAAAATGAGTTTCCCCAAATCATCACACAATCCTTTTGGTCTAGGGTATTGGCAAGTCTTTATCGCCGAGATACGAAAAAAGTAAACATCAAACAGATTCAGCTGGCAGTTGTCTCTCATAAATTTCCCCTCAATATTTTTCCACGTTTCCCACCTCTTTAATTCCCTCTTGCCGCCCCTTCTTTTCTCTCTTTCCCCATTGATGACATATATCTTCTATACCTTTAACATTCCCTAACGCCCACTACGCCATGATTTCTATAAGATTCTATATTTCCCATACATTGAAACGCTATTTTTCTGTGTCAAAAAGTCAAAATTTATTTGATAATTATTTTGGAAATCAGCCATTATTATTTCGTTTTTAAAACTATTTGAATGATATATATAAGAGTTAAATTCCAGTCAGTTGAATTTGTAATACTTGTTATTATTGTTTTTTGACCAAACTCATTGGCTGGCTTTTTCGTGCCATTTTCAGTTTTTCAATTTTGAGCATTTGTAATGGTTGGCTGTCGGCCAAAGTCTACAAAAATTTGCGTAAATAAACAACTTTTTGCATTTTAGAAACAACATAACGAAAAACCAAACAACATATAATCCAAATTGTTTGGGGAAACCGAGAGTTGGCTACTCTAAACTAAATCTCTTTCGTATGCTTTAATTCTATTAAAACAGGAAGCATAGATGTCAAATTAATTATTTTTAATAAAGCAACAGCAGTATATCATTTTAATTATTTTTAATGAAGCAGCAACAGTAACTTTAAAATAAAACATTAACATTAAAATAAAACTTAATAATTGTTATGAACTTGGTTAGTTTAAAAAACAATTAAATAAAACATAAAAAATTTTTATACCCTATTGGAACTTTTGAAATGGAAGTGTTTTTTGCATTAAAGCAAAACAGATAGAGCAAAAAAAAGGGGGCACAAGGAATATTTTTAGTTATATCTCCTATAGGAGCATATAGAACGAAGTGTCGGGACAGAGTAAGCAAAATCATGAAGAGTAGATGGAGTGGGTTCACAATAGAAGGAATATTGAATTTCCCAGCGGAAACGGAAATTGTTCAAGAGCTCTCCTCTCGCCCTCTCAAGTGATTGACGGGTCTCAGCCTCCAGTCAGCCACAAATCCGACCGCATCTTATTGTTTTCCTAGTTGCCACTCTAGCCTAGAGGTATTAGGTGATAAGCTTTTCATGCTAAGCTGCTTTTGCGGGAAAACCTCGAGGGGTTTTCCTCGCTTTTCCCCCCTTTAGGGAGAACGATTTTTTGCTCGTTTAATTTTTTGCTTACATTCTTGCGAGTAGCTGCTGGCGCCACCTGCTGGGCACTGGCTTAAGCTGCAACCGATCGTGAGATTGTCGCTCTCTGGCGGGTAATATCCAAAAGAACGACATCTGGCGGCGAACTCGCACAACACTCGCTGGCAACATGTTGCCGACTTTCTTCAACATGTTGAGTTGCGATTCTTAATTTATTTCTCTTTTCTTTTCTTCGCAAACAGATGTTTTCACTTTATTTTGGGAAATTTCACGACTTATGACAGAAATATTGCACTTAACTGGATGAAATTATCCGCTCTTGGGGTGTTTAATGGACTCCCATTCACTCACACTAACCGCTGATCGATTGCGATTGTTTCGATTGTAACGATTATAACGATAAAGTGGGAGGACACTAGCGAGACGAGCCGATTGATTCGGATTGAGGATTGGAAATGAAAATATTGTACAAGAATCTATATATGTGCGAGGAGGTATAGACGTTTGTATATTTCCTACACTTCACTTTACTGGCGCAGAAAATCGCATATACACCGAGAATGTATAATTATAAATAAATGTTCTATAAAAAACGCTTTTTGTTTCTTCTGCTGCTGTTCCGTTTCGTTTTGCTCGGATCCGTTTTGTTCTGTTCTATACGGTTCAGTTCGGTTCATCTTGCGTTGGTTTGTTTGTTTGTTTGCGTTTGAGCCATTTTAAAATTAGAGGTAACCCGAAATAAGATAATAATGCCGCCAACAAGGCGCAGAAATCATCTTTTGACTAGCGCCCAAAGCCCCATTCTCTGGGGATTCCCCCGCGCCGCAGAATCTCTTTTTGATGAGCTTTCCAGCTAAGCGTCGCCAAAGCGCTCTCCAAGCGATTTAATGGCGTTTTCATGGAAGTGATTGAGTGCTACTGCTGTGTGTTTGTGTGTGTGTTTTCCTTTGTGGGAGTGTGTGCACAAAGGATTTCTTTCGCCGACTTGTGGCGGCTTTCTGAACAGCATCCAAGGATGCCAGAAAACACGGCTGCGTGGGGTTCTGTGTGTTTGCCTTTTTATGTTTTGGCAAGAAGAAGCTAATCAGATTATGGCCAAATCGTATTAAGCGGCCAATTATGTATTCAACAGGCAAGCAAAGCGTTTAAATGGAACGTGGCGAAGGGTTGGCTACGGAACAAGGACTTTCAGTTAGAAGATTGTTTCTTATACTTTTAGAAAATCTTAGGCATACTATTGTTTTTCTTAAAAAAGAAACAAACGCTAAGCTGACTGCGCTAAACACTGCGCTATTGATGCTACACGATAAATTTGCAACATAAAATGAAATTATCCCTTGTTAAAAAGATTCTTGTAAGAATTTTCATTGATACTTGATAAAAAATCATTGCAGGAATACGACAACTTGTTTAACAATTACATTTGTTTTCGATTTTAACAGATTTCAGATATCGACAGTCCGATATCCACCGAGGAATCCACAAGACGCGCGCGTTTGACTGCCCGAACGATTTGCTAATAAAGCTCTTAACTCTTCAATCCGACCGATCGGTCGGAAATAAATCGAAAAGCCACACACACAGCGATAGGCAGCCGCACACTGAGAGATATATTTTAGAATTGTATTATTTTTGGGCTTGGTTCGCGGCATTCGTTTTTGATTTGTTTTGTTATTGTACAAGTATTTTGGTCGTCTACGGCTTCTGTTCAGTGTTCTTTAGTGTTCTTCAGTGCTGTTCTGATCTGCTCTGTTTTGTGCTGTTGTGCTGTTGTGCTGTGCCATGTTGTTGCTTTGACCGGCGATCTCCTTCAACTAAAAGAAAGGAAATTCTGAGCATCTGTTTTCGTGGGGCCGCCTGTGCGGCATGGCTGCTGCATTGGAATTGGAAGTGCGATGATTTTTAAATAAATGTTCACTTATATTTATAACCGCGGCCAGGGGCCAAGGGGCAGCGCTTCCCACACACCGAACACCAAACACCTCATGGCCCGCAAAAATATCCACTGGGTATTATATACATATATATATATACAAAGTATCCTCCGCAGATCCCTAACTCTGGTTGCGTTTAGTTTCTCTGGGGGGGCTGGCTAGGCAGCTAATTTTCCCACTCGATGGCCGGCCGCAGAGTATCAGTTAAAATTAGCACTGAAAACATCAATATTTTTACATTTTCCCATGTGCATGATTTCCATGGAATTCCACAAAACAAGGAGTTATTTTTAAAACAGCAGAAGGCAAGGCAGCTAGTGAAATGTGTTGGCTGAGTTGGCAGAATCCGCAAATAACGAATGCCAAACGTTCGATTTTTTGTGTTGACTGTCGGGCAGGAAATCCTTTTAGCCAACTGAAATTTTGTATGCCACGCTGAGGTGTCAGCGCTCGCGAAAACATACAAATTTTTGTTCCACAAAAGCTAGCCATTAATGAAATCACTCATTCACCATCCTGAATTGCATAAAGATTCCACGAAATTTGTGCAGATTCCGGATGGGAATTCTTTTTATGTAAACCACTTCTTGGCCCTTTTGTCACACGGCCAATAAACGTGTGAACCAAAGTTGTGGCCACAAAGGAGGTGCGCCCCCAAGTATGCAATGCTTTTCGGGGAAGGGCCAAAGTTAAATTTAATGCTGCAAAAGTTGAAAAATTAAAGGAAAACTCAATGAGTTCAACGCTGCTAAAACCGCGAGGGCGACGGTGAGCAAAAGCAATTTAATCACGGGTTACTGTGGCCAATGAAGCGATTCCTGGTCGCACTTACATCCACACACACCCACACACACACACACAGTGTGGCAAAGGGAAACTCACACAGATACTCACCTGCGTTTACGGCTATGGAAAAATGTATATGAGCGTAAAATTTGATTGAAAGTGATGAATTAATGAGGCGTTAAATGATTAAATACGAACAGAATGTTCGCTTTGCGCCCTATTGAACTGGAAGCTTGCGACAGCATTAACAATATCGGACCCAAAGGGTTAGACCCCGCCCCCACAACCACCTAACTCCGCCCATTTGCTGTAATCAATTCAGTGAAGTAAGCAGAGAAGTACCAAAGGCACACCATCATTTTCCGAATGGGTTGAGGCTGGCGATTTAATGAGCGAATGGTTGTACATTTTCGAAGCAAATAACTGCAGTAGTTCCAATTTCACTGTTGGCAGCCATAAAATTAGATAAAGGATTTAACATAAATTCTATTCTTTAATTTATAATCTATCATTCTAGCCACAAAGCACATTTATTTAATAGGATTTCAGTTTCACTATAAATTCCTACAGATAAATGGAGTTAATTAAATCGAATTCCGAGTTTTAAATTACATGTACATTTCGGCTTTTACAAATTCAAAATACATAGTTCAATATGTTTTGGTAATTCACGTGTAATTTGCATATTTGCATAATATGCCTTCTGAAACCTTCGCTTCTTTGCAAACCATCATCGTTATTGATGGGCCTTTCAAAAACATATATACCCACAAATTCATCCCCTTTCACAATTTTACTGCGCACGAGAGGCGCATTAAAAACCAATAACTTACATTGCCTGTCAAAACCGCACAGAAAAAGTGGATATAGACAACATATTTGCATACAAATACACACAGGGACACAAAAAGATATAGCCGATAGGTAACCCGATTCTATGCTGAAGTACCATCAGGTGCTTGGCACCCTTCGAATTTGCCCATTTATGAAGATTGAAGATTGAAAATTGAAGCGTGAAAATCGCACTGCACGGCAGAAGCAGCACGAAAAATTAGCAATTTATTTTTATGGCTAAAAGAAGTAAAACATTTGTGTGTTTTGGTTAGATAAACCAATTTATTTGCCGTTTCCAGGGCATCAACTATTCAAACTGCGTGCGGCGTCAATCAATTGGCGGAAAAAGGGGAAAGAGTTGGAGAATTTCCGCTGCGACAGTCAGATAGAAGCGAAAAGAATAACTCTGAATGCAAATGCAGTGCTTAGTTGTTGTCGTAGACCACGGCCAAAAAGTCGTGACTCGCCGACAAAACTTCACTTTCGCTATGGCCAGTTTTTCCCATGCAAATGCTAAAAAGTTAGAACGGACAGAGGGTTACGACGGACGTTACGACGGACGTTACGCCATTTGACGCATACAAAATGTCCTTGAAACGAGCTGGTCATAATGCCCTGGTGAATGTGAATGTGAGTGGGTTTGGAATTGGAATAGGGAATGGGTCGGAGATTGGGTCGGGGATTGGGCCTGGCATGGAGGAATGGGAATGTGGCAATCCCTGGCACTGACAGGTGGCAAAATCTGACTTTGACTTTGCCTTTGTGTTTTGCATTCTCGATTCGCGGCGGCAGTTGCAAATTGATAAACAAAGTAGGAAGGTAAATCAACAAGGTAAAGGTAGAACGACACACCGAAGTGTAGAAACCCTAAGCAATAGTAAATATGAACAAAAAAGTTGACCAAAACTGATATGGGCGTATATTTGACATATATTAAATGTATGTCTAGGGGATCATTTGCATTTTTACTTTATAAAGATGTAATACATTGTATTTAAGCATCTTAAAAAGTATAAATAATATCCTAAGCATATATTTTATTACTTTAATGAAGCTTACTTTAAACAAAACAACTATTAACAAAAGAAAACACTAATAGAATACACATTTAAATACACCTTTGTATATGTTTCTAGTTTATTGCTCACAACTCTTACAATGTTAGCCATTCCAACTTATTAATTTCTTTACAAATAGTTATCAATCGAAACTAAAATCTACCCATAACTTACGTAGTGTACTCCAAAAGTCGGGTAAGGACTGATTTAAAGGTACTAGACTCAGAAAATACGCAGGAGGGAACTTCAAGAAAGGTCTACCTCCGGGGTAAATGCCGTCAAATGCAGGCGGAATGTGCTTTGCATTCATAATGTGCTTTGACTTTTGGTTTGCGTTTCAATTTCGAGTTTCACTTGCAGTTTCTGTGGAAATGTCGCAGGAAATGGGATTTGTGGTTGTCGTGCGGCTTTCCTTTTGTTGCTAGCGCGGTTTTGAGGCTTTATTGAATTAAGTGTTTTGATAAGTATCCCCTACACCCTTTAGCTTCTAAGAAATGACTGCAGCAATACAACGAAAAAAGGAATACCCGAAAATGTACGTCAAAAAGTAGGCAACACTTTCGAGGCTGCCCTCTTGGAACACTGCCAAAAGCGAGCAAAAAAAAACAATTTAAGAAAAATATTTATAGTAGCTGTATAAAAAACTTTCTCCTCTGTTTGTTCTTTTTTTAGATGCTAAATATAGGCGGAAAGTTTAAAGTTGAAGCGTTTCCCCAGCCGCCTTTGTGAAATCCCCCAACTGACGTCAGTGGTTTGGCTACAAAAAGTGCAATATTTGAATATTCAATTAATTTATGCATTACCCCAGACATACACACACAAACACACACAGGCCCCGCAGGAGTGGGTAATTCAAAAATTCCATTGCATACCCCACAGGCGTTGAGTGCAAAAGCATAGAGATTTCAGCTCAAGCGCCTGTATGTATGCACTTTTTGAGTGAAAGTGTGGGTGCTTGTTCGAGTGTTGGTCTGGGTATCTGTGTGAGTAGTGGGCACGCACCGCGAAAATGAAAGAGAACACGCCCCCAGTTGGCAGCCAGTGAGCGAATCGACCAACCTAGACCAACCCCCTGGTTCAAGTTCAATGCAATCTGCACCCACTGTCGCCGGCGACCTTGAAGACATAACCACGCGAAGCGGAGGAAGGGAAATCTGGCAAACACGCTGGCAGCAATAATGAACACGGTAAGCCAGGGCAATTAAAGCTGGCACGTCACAAATTGTTTAATTTCTAGATAATATGCAGGGGATAACGTTTAAAAACAACCTTTGAAACCAACAATGTATTGCTTAGGGGCACTTTTTCCCCTGTAGCGCAATAGCCCATTATGCCGGGGAAATTGGCGGGAAACTGAGGAAAACTAAACTAATTCGGTGATATAATACAACAAACAACGTTTGGTTATTTCATGTTCCCTCAACCCTTTGCCTTGTTTAATTAGTTTATGGATTTTCACAACAAACATGTTGTGCAATGCGAGGAAAATGTGAAGAAAATTAGATAAGCACGGATGCCGGAAAAGCTGAATCACTATTGCAGGGTGGGTTAAGAATATAGAATTAAGGGAAGGGGTTTCCTTACACTCATTACTTTCCAATAGGAAGTTATGTGGTTTATAAAGTGCAATGTACTGAATTTTAAAAGATAACAAGAAATTCTCTTACAAAGTTTAAAAAATAAACAGTTTTTTGCCAAGAACAATTTATAAATATTTCATGATAAGGTTCACTTATGAAATTTAATGGATAGAAGTATATTCTTTGTTTACTGAAAATCTTAAAGATTGAATAAGGTTTGTTTGCATTACACCATCTGAGAGATGGTTGTTTTGTCATCACACGCGTCGTATGCGTAATATTTAGAGTCAATAACAAAGGGAGCAAACAATGGAAAATCAACGAAACAACAACAACTCATTTAATCAACACCACAACACACATGAGTGTTTCCAAATGTTGAAAAGAGATAGAGACACTCAACTAAAGTCACGTGTAAATTCCAAATGCTGTAAATTAGCATTTATTGCCAGTGAGACAACTAGAATGAGCAGATAAAGTGATACGGGCCACAGGAATGCTTCGGTAATGTCACCCATACGGTAGGGCCCTCATCCATAGATGCTCTTAGGCAGGCTGCACTGTAACGCAAGCAGAGCAAGCGACAAAAGTGATAAACAAACATGAGAAAAAGTCAACAATTCCCGGTTTGAACCGCACACAATCCAATTAGAATTAACTCGGAGAGAAACCAAGAGAGCGAGGGTAAAACAGAGAGCGAGATCCCCAGAGAGAGCGTGCCTTTTTGCAACAATAATCGCAATCACACTGGGAAAAATCTTATTATTTGATCACTGGAAGAAATAATTCAAATATTGTTCAATAAACATAATTTGTTAAAGATTCATTCCTAAAGTATTCACCTAGAAACGCAATTAATTTAATAATAAAATAGATAAGGGTTCAAGTGTTGAATTTTTTTATTATCTTATAATATATGTTGTATTGTTTACCTAGAGTTCGAGTAATAAAAGATCGACAATATAAATTTATTACTAAAAGGTTGTAGTTGTAATCCCCTTTGACAAGGAAAAATTCCAAATCGATGACCAGTTGTGGTGATATTTTGCACAGTGCATCAGCGGCGGCTGCATAATGACATCACACCAGCGATAAGAGCGAGATTGGGAGGAAGAGCGAGAGGGGCGATGGCGGTATATGACATCAGCGTGTGCACGATTTGTTAACAGTTAAACGCACGATCGCTGAGGGGGTGTGATATAAAGGGGGGCTGTCGTATTACCACTGATCATAACCGAGCATGCGCAACTTTCAGTGAATTTTCTGCTTCACGTGCTGAGCGAAAAGATCGACAGAAAAAACTTGAGCCCCGATTTCTGCTGCTCATTTTTCGGACATCGCATTAAGCTTTAATTGACGTTTAACGACTCACGCGTGAAATCTCTTGAGAACCGGTTGGCATCTATTTGTTGTTCTTGGCTATTATTCCCAGTAACTTTTTTTTTTGTTGGCCGAAAAAACCGAAGAGAGGGACAGAGCTAGTGGGCCACAAATCATATAAAACACTTTGTGAACCTGTCGCCTCTAATATTTTCATTATTGATTTATTTGCTTAGCTGCTTTATCATACCCCACAGCCCCTCTTTTCTCCGCCTCCCTGTGGCATATCGAACCTCTATCTACTCACACACACTCGCTTTTTCGGGGGCCTTGCGCGTAACCATTTTTCGTTATTTGATTAAGATTTTTATTATATTTTTTTGTATTTGTATTTTTTCCATAGCGGCTGCTGCTACCGAAGCTGTGTTGTTTAAAAACTCATTTCTTATGTGATTTCGATGTCAGCTTAACTGTGTTTACTGTATGTTTTCTGTACCTCTCCCGCGTGGATTCTTTGATTTTTTGCCCAATTGACACCTTAATCACTGGGACACGAAGAGCAGCAAATGTCTGAAAGCTGTCAAAGCAAAGAATATTTCTTGTTTTTTCCACTCTTTGTACGCTGATAATTGGGATGCTGTCGCTAGGAAGAATGCGTCATTTGAAACATTGCTGATATTCTGTATCTAAAATATAACAGGCATATCGGGGCTTTGTGTAATTATGTTAACTAGGATTAAATTTAAAAATAATATCCCCATTCTCTTCCTCAACTGTCCTTAGCTCATTTCATAATATTTTGATCATTTAATCAAGATTTTAGACAACTGCTATCTCTTGGAACATTAAGATAACTTTATTTTCTTTTATAGGGTATCTCCCAGACAAAAACTCTCAATTTCCGCACTTCAACTTGGCAATGTTTGCTTTGTTCAGTGGAGTCCACTTGAGAGCGTTTCAGACTAAAGAAGATGATTTTGGAGGGTTGTCAAACAGCAGAAGAACTTCCCAATGACGTCAAGACAATAGAGAAGGAAAGCGAGAGGGCTGGAGCGTAAAATAGAGATTAGCCCCAATCTCTGGATTCCAAAATACCCACACTAAAAATAGTTATCTCAAGTCAAATCTTGTTATCTCCATTATCTGCCAGACAAATGACCGTTAGCTAAAGAAAAACAGGGGGAAAAAAATAATAATAATAACTGCGAAAAAGAGAATTCTTCCTATTCATTAATAATGGTTAACCCAATGAAAGCAATTAAATCAAATCGAGCCGAGCCGAGTTCGTTTGGCAAAGATTTTTCAGCAGAGACATGACCATGACGTGGCAAACCGCCACCTCAATCTCTTTCCAACCCTCTATCTCCATCTCTAGCTGTCTCTACGACCTCATCGAATTGCTAATGATCCCAAGGTAATACTTCAGCTGCTTTATTGTTATTTATTTATTTATTCTTTTTTCGATTATAAATTTATAACAAAGAAAAAATTCATATGGAGAGAGAGAGAACATTTTGGCAAGACAAATATTTATTTATCTAATTTTTGGATAGTCAAACAATCGTGTTCGCAGCGCACTAGAAACTTATTAACTGAAAAGTCTGAGTACAAAGATGAGTTGTAATTTTTATGATTTGATCGAGTGCCCCCGACTCCTTAATGTGTCTCGAGGAATGCCAGCCACAAATGTTTTCGCTTTTTACGCATCAGCACAAATTAAGTCACTTTATTGCTCATTTACATTCGCTTAAACTTTGCCTGATTAAAAAGTTTCGCTTTGTTTTTGCGGCAATTGAATTTGCTCGCAGCAGCAAAACTTTGCGCCCCTTAACTTCAAAGATGTTTGTCAGACAAAAAAAGTGGTGGGAACTTTTACAAGAACTTTTAACTGTTAGAGCCTCTGGACCCTACATGTGTCACACTTTATAAAATTATTACATGACTTGATGGTTTTTTTTTGCAAGATTAAGATTGAGAAACAATTTGTAATCTATTAATCTGGTTATGATCGCAGGGAAATAATTTCATTACATAATAAATATGTATGTTTTGTGTTCTAATTTTACGAATACCTCTTTATTGTAAATAATTTATTTATTAAGAAAATCTTTTAACTTCTTAAGAAATCATATCAAACAAATAAATCCGTATGCAGTAAAATATTGACAATCGTTGATTCTAAAACTGAAATCGATTCGGCGAGGGCATCTTTTATAAAAGAAGGTATTCTATGTGAACGAAAAGGTCAACTCCTACGATGGTTAACAGTTGAAGGACTACGGGTCATTGTTAGTGTCATCATAGGTGATTTTCCCCAAGGTGTTTTCCTTTGAGCGGAACGAGCGCATCTGCTAGGCTCCCAAGCATTTATGGATGACCTATAATTTAGATAATTCATTAGCTTACACACAGGCTATCAACCTTTCCTTCTCTTTCCATTATATTGGGTTATGTCCATTCGAATCGAACTGTTTGTCTGTGCACTGTTTGGTCTCTAATTGTCCCACTATATTTATCCGGTCTAAAATTAGATCCATGAATGTATATTTGAAGGTTGACCAGTTGGTGGTCAAAAGTGGCATTTTGTCCAATACCAAAGACATGCCCACGACGTTTTGCTTGAGTGTTGTTTGTTGGTAGGTTCATCCTGCACCATTAACTAAACTAGGGCTAATGTCTATGTTCTGTCCGTTTCCCGTTGCTCAGATTCTAATGATCACCCGCCGAGAATCAGACAAAACTGTACCCTGCACTCCGCACGAATATACACACGCAGAGTGTGCGGAGCGTATTTAAGCGGCTTAATGAACCATTTGGAAACTTTCACAGTCATCAAACATTGCGATGTTGGCGATTTTTGGCACTCAACGCCACAAGTGGAACAAATGAAGTATTTTTTTCGAGTTTGTTTTTTTCGCTTTTGGACCTTTTCTTTTTGGAAACTTTGAAATAGCAAATGCCCTCACTAAAAATATAATTAAGTTGTTTCTCCACATTTATAATTCATGAAAACTAAAAGTTAGTAAAAATGGTTAATCGATTTACAATTTGAAGATGAACCAGATATATATATGGCACCCGAATAGAAAATTAACCATTTGCAACAGAAGTTACTAATGATCTTTTGTAACATATTTCTGTAACACCACAGAATTATAAGCACTAATAAAGTGATTCACTTATTTAAGGCTTAGTTATACATTTTACTTGATATTTTTGATTCTTTTCCTTCTTCATCCAGCAGTAGCAATATGTAATACCCTATGTTACTCCGATTCGAGCCATAAAAACCCGTTCAACTAGCTGGTCTCAAGTGATCAATGCCATCAAAAGACAATTACCAGCGCTGGCCAAAAACAGTTTCCTCCCCTTCAGCCCGCAAAAAGTTCAAAACCAACGAAACTGCACTGCCCAACGATGATGGTAATGATCTGGCAAAAAGAACGAGCAGAAGCAAAGAGGCAAAAAGCCAGACAAGCGGCCCAAACACAGAGCCAAAGATCGGCAATCAAGTGGCCACTTCCATCCATCCATCCATCCATCCAACCATCCAGCAGTTCGTCCACCAATCCCCCCACCGCCAGCTTCTGCAGTGAAAAACGAAACCAAAATCGAAGCGCAAAGCGGCGGGGCGAAAGCTCGACCACAAGCACCTGGCCTAAAAATAGCAACCGCTCATTAGAAATGGCTATAAATAGATGGCGGCATTAAAGCGCGCTAACCTGTGGCACAGTGGAGTGTCGATGGAGTGGAAACCGGAGTTAGTGTCGAAGGCGAAGAGGCTGAGGTGCAACGCATGACGTATACGCACCGTGGTGCAATCTTCTGCTGCAATCTGGTTATCTCGCGAATCGCAGTGCTGCTACTGCACCAGTTACGAGCTAAATGTGACGACTTTGGGGCAGCCCAAACAGGTATTCTCCGGCTAGGGGAATTGAGGAATTCCGAGGGGGAAACCCTACTGGAATATCATGTCCCCACAGAATCGATGTTCTCAAAGAAGAAGCTTTTTAGGAGTTTAAGAAAAATTTAAGATAAGGTTAGGAAAACAAGACATTCCTATGATTACCTTACCTTATTGTTATTCCATTTATATTATATGTGTAATGTAAAATTAGTAATGTAATTAGTAAACGTTTATAATTTGCTAAGTATCAAGCTGAATCAAGCAAATTTTTTAACTTCTTAAAACAGACTTCCAGTTTTAATCCGCTTTACTGCCAACAAACGTTTCACAGAAATGTTTTCCTCGTTTAAAGTGTAACCTGCAGCTTGACCAGAAATTCTTTTCATGGCAAAACTTTTTAGCCGCATCTAACGAGCTCGAAGCAGCAGGAACAAGAAAGCATTTCCTGCTGCAATCCCCTGGCAACTTTTAGCGAGCATAATTTCAAACAATTTAGTTAAGTTCCAGTGGCATTTCATGCTGTTTACATAAAGCAAATACACAAAGTGCCTAGGGGAATGGAGGTTCTGCCAGGAGGTAGGAAAACCCAGGATCAGGGACACGCGCAATACAAGGGCTCGCGCAAGGTAAACGAAGTAAATTAAACAGCGAGAACAACAACTAAAATGCCCACAGTGGGCGTTGAAAAAAGAGGGGAAAAGGGGGCAAAGTGGGGACTCTTAAACAGGCAAAATGCACACAGAAAAAACAAGACAATCTTACAAATTAACCTACTTTTGGCGCCAAAATACTAGTTTAGGACATAGGTTAATTAGTACTGATTACTTACTACAATTTTTTTGATAAATATCACAGCTCCTGTAAAATGTGTAGAAAAAATAAAGTATTGTTGTTAGGGTTTTAGCGATTAATGTTCAGTATTTACGGGGCTATTAAGCATATTGTTTTAAATTAAGGACATTTTTTTAGCCGTGTACAGCAGAAGAAACAGAGAACCAACAACAAGCACAATAACGAATAACAAGCCAAAGGCATGCGAAACAGCAAAAAGCAGGAGAAACCCAATAACATAAAAGCAAAAGAATTTTTTGCCAAAGGATGATGGCCAACCTGCAAAAGAGGGAGACGAAGGGGAGGGCGGTAGTAGAAAAACCCGCTTACAGCAGCGAAAAAAATAAGCAACAGCGACGCCAAGCCAACCAACGACCTTGATAAGTTTTACAGCGACCGGGAAGGAAGGGGGCGGATAGAGAACAGGAGAGCGAGGTCCCAGCTAAGGAGCGAGCAAAGAAGGGCGGCGGAGAGAGGCCACCTCAATCGATGCCCCCCAATGTGGTGAGTTTTGCCACGCGCGAGAGCGCTTTCAATTCCGTTCTCTTTCTCTTTGGCTCTCTCATCAACAAGTGGCCCAGCTGTGAGTGGGCTGGATAAGGGGGAACTGGGTGGGTGGCGAGGAGAGTTGACCAGTTCCTTACTCAATCCGTTTTTTTGTGTCTGTGTGTCAGAGAGCTCTCTAGTGCTATCTCCCGCGCGCTCTCTTTAATAAACAGCCAGTGGTGAGTTTGTTTTCCTCTTTTCAGCCTGATTATCATATTCTGCGTTTTATTATTGAATTTCTCGAAAATTGTCTGCGTGTGTGTGTGTGACGCATGTGTAAAGTGCGGGCCAAAATTTGATAGAACAGCCGCCCACCGCCCACCGCCCCCTTTTCCACCCATTTCACCACACTCCCCTCCTCCCGCAATAGAAAACAAATTCCGCCAGCTAGTCTGTCAAATATGTTTGTTTTCCTCTCTCCCTCTCTCTCTCTCCCACAGTCAGCTGCCAAATCAGCTGTCTGATTTAAGGCAAATTCATTTAGTATTACTTAACAATCGAAGCCACAAACGGAGAATAGAAAGCGGAAGATTGGAAAACATGTGCATGGAAAATTTTGGTCTCCTCATTTCTTTGGTTAATGGCAAAAAAGTGGACTCGCCAGATAGCAAAAAAAAACAAGAGGCAAAACACAAATTGCAGAACGACAACCAACAAACAACTGCCTCCATTGTAGTTACCTGCAACGTGCCTGAAATTTCAAAAATGCAATATCAAAATCAACGCGGAACCAGAAAGATCCACTACTTTGGGAAAACGAAACTGGAGATACCCTTATTCTTTTCACATCTAATGGGTTAAGGAAGATAACATGTTTAGCTATCTTTGTAGGACCTCACAAGACTTAAAATAACAATTTACATTAACGGCTAAGATTTTACAACGCAAGATCAGAGATGCTGGTTTATACCTCAAATTCACACCACTTAACAGTTACCAGCAATTCGTTTTTCTGAAATAAGCTTATATTTTTAATTAGAGAAAAAGCTCTACCACAAGAAAATGACTTCAAGATTGACAAACATTTGCCATCAGGAAATTTAGATTCAAGTCAAACATAGCCTAATACTAATTAGTTACAAATCTTTGGTCTTGACTTTCTTCTATGGAACATAGAGTTTATCGGACACAAATGATAATTTCTTTAGTGAATATATTGTTTAGATAGTTTTCGATTCACTTCTGCTTTGCACAACTTGTGATTGCAACAATAAGACCTTTTGCTAGAGTATTTCAAGCGCCGTGCTGCACTTGCAACTGCCAAACGAAACGAAACCGGACTCAACTGGACGCCCGCCCCTTGCACACACACCCATTTAATGGTCGCACACACTGATCCAGCAACACACACGATCTTACACACACAATATAGACGACGCCTAGTTGAGCATTTTGAACGACAACTACAGCGGACAAGCCATAATTAATCAGGCCTGGCCGGCTATATTTTACAAAAGCGAAGCGAAAATTCCTCAACGGCTCCCAAGTCGAAGTTGTAGCAGCAGATCCTTAACTAAAAAATGTTTCTACTTTGTTGCCATTTTGCCAATTTGACCTTATCAATTCTAACCAATAACACGTGCATTTCCCTGGCAATTGCTGCGTTCCATTTGGCTGAGTCAATCGCACACTTCCTAATCACAAACAAAATTCTAGCAAATCGGTAAAAACTTGTTTCTTTCCATCGCAACATTAAATCGCATATTTTTACAAATTATATTAAAGCTCCTATAAATGTGTAAATACATACACACATGGATTATTAGAAGTTGGCGACGGCAACAACAAAACAGGCAATCTGAATTTTTTGTGTACTTTAAAAACTTGTTTTATTTATTTGCTTTTTGTTTGTTCTGCCGTTTGCTTGTAAGCTTATTGAACAATTATATTATGGCATACGAAATGACAATAGCTCAATAAGCTATGTTTGCATGTGCTAACAGGGAAAAAGGGTTGTTAATAACTTGGAGAGTCTACGTTAAGACTCTTAGGTATAAGGATTTAACTATCATATCATATTACCTGGCTAAGCTGGGTGTGCAGACCTATTGCTTTTTAATATCAATACAATTGGTTCTTAAATGGAATTTTGCATAATCTTCAAAGCAAAACGCTATAAAATGATTAAGTATCCTGATGTCTATGGGATATTTAATGTTTGTAACACGTTTTGTAAAACACTTTTAAGTGAACACTTCTACGTTACAGGTAATAAATAATAGTTCATAAAAAGTACTTTAATAATGTGTTTAAGGTTATCACAAACATTCAATTGTTTGTCACATGAAGTTCAATGAAAAACCTTTCTGGAACCAACTAAGTATTCCCTAAAGGTAAAGCATTAAGATCAATAAATAAATACGGAAGAGTATCATACAGAAATATTTAATTTAGATTAGACTGCGTTTTTATATTTTGTTTTACAATTATAATTATATAATTTCAATATTTTTTCGAGGAAATAAGACAAATGATATTCACATTTAAAGATCGTGACAAGGCAACATCGATTCATGAGCCAAAGATTTTCCAGACACAGTGGAAACTTTGCATTAAACATTTAGCATGCAAATAAACAATTATAATAAATTATCGAAAAAAAACCCAGTAACCCGAGCAGTTATTTTGTAATAGCATTTCGTTGGGTTTTTCTCACCCGCACGAACACAATGCAAATATGTGAGGTAATAATTGAGCTCGTTTTGCACAGTGTAAGTGGGGGAGGCAACGTCCGCCTCTTGATTCTTTTTCCTTTTCTTGTGATTCTCTTTAGTCTGCCCCTCAATTGTCGCTTCATTGAGAGAGGGACAAATAAGAGGTAAGTAGAGAGGAACAGCCACTTAATTCTATGCTGCATTTGGATAAACCGATCTGATATGCAAAACAAAACTATTAAGTTGGAAATTCGGTTTTGGACTCTATAACAAAACTAAACTAGTTTGACGTATTGAGTAGCTCGACTCTACACCATTTCTTATCATTTTGGTAATTCAAACATTTGCTCACATAAGATGGATTACTAGACTGATAAGAAAAGCGCGGATTCGAATTTCTCCGCTACCCAATCGTTTTTTATGTTTATGTTTAATAGTAACCATTTTTTTTTTTTGGGTTTTAAACATTGGCATTTGGTTGTAAATTATAAAATTGATCATCATTGCATACAATGTTTCTTTCTGTATGAATAAAAGAGATGTAAGATTACTCTGAACCCAACTGCAGATGACCAATAATACGGCAATCAACTTTGGATCTAACATTACAAGAAGTGCAACCGAAGAAGAGGAAGAAGTAGCTGAAACAGAAAGGCTAAATTCAACTTACAGTCGCAAGTTCAAGGCCAAGTGGCACTCTCTGGCACTGGCGCTCTCTCCTTCTCTCACGCTCTGCGTGGGGCTCTTTGCTCTCTTCTCTCTGGGAGTGTTGTTGTTGTGTTACATGTAAAAGAACTTTCGTTTTCCGCCTGCAAGGATTGGGGTGGGGGGTTGGGTGGGCGATGTGGCCCACATGCAACTACCGTTGGCTCTCGTCCGTTGTTGTTTTTCGTTCGTTTTCGCACTCCTCTTTGCTATTTTTGTTGTTGTTTTCTGGTGTTCGCCAAACAGGAGCGACTTTTGTAAATTAATTAACAACACTCGCACACTCACTCCCCACACACGCACACACACTGGCGTTCATCGTGCGAGCGCGCGCTTCGAGATAAGCAAAGCAATTTATTTGCACTAAAATTTACTTTTGCGCGCTGAGCGAACGTGGGCGAGGGGGTGTAAAGGGGGCCAACGGGAGAGGAGAACTCACCACACACACACACTCACGCGACCGACGTAAGAGCGCACGTTTTTGCCAGTTTTTGGGGAATATATAATGTCAGCAATACTTCGATCTGTTATATAGCTAGTTCCCGATTAAGAGTATCGTTTCGAAATCAATGCGATCGATTCAAAGTCTGATCGGTTCAATCTGGCGGAGCCTGCGACGAGACAAGTCAACAACGACGGAGCGCTACAACAAATGTGCTGCGGGAGCTTTGCGCGGATAGGTCACACTTGGGGACAGTGCGGTCACACCTAGCGATGGCAAGGTACCGATACATCGGATGGAACCTCTTTGCGATACATTTTTGGCGCCAATATAAAAATAAATGGTTGTAGCTAGTCTTAAACTTGTTTCTATAATTAAACACAACCAAACGTACCTTAACTCAGTATCTCAAGTACATACTTAAAATTATTTAATTTGATTGAATTCAAAACGGCCATTTTAAAACTAGGATAGTCCATTACAATGATTTGGAAAAACAAATTAAACCGTTTTTGTAGACTGAACATTTTTACGGGTTTATACTTTCAAAATAAAGCAACGAATTTACTGGCGGTTAACCTTTTCAGTTACCCCACCCGTTTTGTGATTTTTTTCCCGCTCCTCATACGGTCTCACTGCAGAACCAAAACAAAACAACAGGTTTTGTTTAGCAATAACTTTACTTAAGTAACTATTTTCACAGCAATGGTAGATTAGCTTTAAGCGCATCGAACTCCTTCTTTTCCAGGGGCTTCAGATGGGTGCCCAAAAAGGGTGACTTGAACTCCAAATCGCGGTGTTTATTGACCAGCACTTTCTGGTCTGAGTAAATCAGGTTAATTTGCTGCTCAATCTGCTGTTGATCTGCGGCGAATCATAGTTAGTACAATGAATAAGTAGAGAAAGCAGTTACACACCTTTCTTGAGCAGATCCAAGGCCTTTTGCCGCTCCATTTTGACCAGCATGCTGCCAATTGTGATCCAAACTTTCTTGTCCTCAGACTTTTCCATCAGACGCATTGCCTCCCGTGTTTCCTGGCGCCTTTTATCCATCACCGTCAGTTCCTGTTTGTTGGCCATAATCTTGTCGGCCAACTCCTCGGTCTTTGTTATTATTTCGATGCTTTTATCTAGCTCTGCTTGTGACATTTTGGAGGAGATCGAAAAAACAGTTCTGAACACGGAAGTAAACAAAAAACCTTCAGTGTGCGACTTTAAAATACACTAACGCCTTAAGCTCAGCTGTTTCATCAGGGGCGCAGGCAGGGAGAAGTGACAGAGGGTAGCTATTTACTATTTAACAATTTTTACTTGGTCCTAAAATTGATTTTATTTAATATTCAGGCTTTTAAGTTCTTCATAATAATTAAGCGTTTTAATTTTGTCTCAATATATATTAATAAATTATCATAGATAATTGTTTATAGTTTTTTACAATTCAATGACAATATATCTCAGTGAATATAACATATAGTGCATTCACCATGTATCATTAACATTCAGAAGAATCAGTGATCAGTGATCATGTTGTTCTGCTGAAAACGCGCATTGATTTTATTTATAACTCAGGTTTATTAGTTTTTATTTAATACAAACCAACTCCAAAATGAAATTTTTTTTCCTGATATTCCATTCTGAATTACATATCTAGGCTCCTACGTTCGAGTGTAGGAGTGTATGCATTAAATATTATAGTCCCTTATGTTTTTTGTAAGAGCAAGTATAAAAAATCAATATTTATGTACAACTGCTTAAAGTTTTTTTTACCAATTTTTCTCAAGGATATAAGACATTTGTACTATATATACTATATGGTCACACTGTAGAACACAAAAATAGCAAAGTGTCAAACCCCCTTTGAAGTCCATGGTACCTGCGCCGCTGTTTCCATCACATCTCAATCGCAAGCAAAGATGGCCGCGTCATAAGTAGTTTTGTAGTTCCGAGACGAGACGTTTGTTTACGAGCACAATCACACCGGACTGGATATCCGCCTGAAGTCCTGCAGCCATATATGTACATTCGCAGGGATTCCAAAGCAATGCATTCCACCGACAGCCCCAAATGCCTGGGCCACAAATCCCTGGCAATCTGTTGCCTGCTCCTCCACCTCTTCCTCTTCCCACAGCCAGCGGCATCGCAGGTAAATCACCAATCATTATAACCAAGAGTTCATTAGGGCCATCACGCTGCTTGACCCAAACAAACATATGTTTGCAATGTGTGCACAGATGTTTGGCATATTGATTTTACTGCAGTGTGTACTTCGAGTGTGTGCGTGGGTGCTGGTGCTCCGTGGCATTTATTTTTTCCCACCTGGGCTAATCTTAATCTAAAAACCCCTTTTGCAGGCTCAAAGTTCGCCACGTTATCTGCAGAATGGGGACAACGACAGCAACAACAACGAGCGCCTGCATCAGATTCTCAAGGGATCGGGGCCAGTATCGGGTGTCACACAGCTCAATTGGCCCCAGCCGCCCAAACAGGCGATTACCGACGTCAAGACTGAGCTGGCCAAGCTGAACAGCAGTGAGTGGGGCATCTCCAAACATTTAAATATCATGTTATAAACTTTAATGCCACTTTCAGCTTACCTTTACCAAAACGCCTGGCCGGCGAACAACGTGAAGCTGGGAGCAGTCACAGCCGTGAGCTTCGACAAGGCCGGCAACGTGGTGATCTTCCACCGTGTGGACCGCATCTGGGGACAGACCACCTTCGACAACAGGAACGAGTACCAGGAGCGATACCGTGGTCCCATCAGGGAGAGCACGATCCTGGCGCTGGAGCCCGCAACGGGCAAAGTGCAATACGACTGGGGCAAGAACTTGTAAGAAAGAATATATAATAACCATCTTTAACAACTTGTCGAGGTCTTAGTTCATCCAAGTGCTCAGTTCTGTAAAACAGAAACTAATTTATACCCATGAAAGATTACTTTTAAAAGTACAAGTTCTTATAGAACCCAATAATAGGCACTATATTGTAATTAGCACAATCACATTCGTGATCACAGTATTTGTTTACCTGATCTTTGATTTGTGTTCTTAGGCAGGAATAATATTTTGCATTATAAATACCTGTCGAGATGGTCTGTAAAAAAAGCAATGACATTATTGTAAATTTAAATGGTAATAGTCAAACATTTATACTCATTTAAATTCATAGAATTGCTTTAAATTAATATAAATTGCAAAAAAAAGAAAGTAGCATTTTATTAAGATGATAAGTCCTTATTAACAAAATATTATTTCACCCACAGCTTCTACATGCCGCATGGCTTGACCGTGGACCCCGAGGAGAACGTTTGGCTGACGGACGTGGCCATGCACCAGGTCTTCAAGTTTCCGCCTCGTGGAGGCGATGGCAAGCCACTGCTTACACTCGGCGAGGCCTTTAAGCCCGGCTCTGGCCGGAAGTTCTGCAAGCCCACCTCAGTGGCGGTGCTGGACAACGGCGACTTCTTCGTGGCGGATGGATACTGCAATGCCCGCATTCTCAAGTACTCGCGTGCTGGCGACCTAATCCTCTTCTGGGGACAGAACACCTTCGCCGGCGTGTCCTACGACGTGGCGCCACAGAACTTCTTTGCCATCCCTCACGCCCTGACCCTCGTTCCGGAGCTGGGGCTGCTGTGTGCGGCGGATAGGGAGAACGGGCGGGTGCAGTGCTTCCTGTCCAGCAACGGCTCCTTCCACTCACAGTACCACAGCCAGCTGATAGGGGACCGCCTCTTTAGCATGGCCTACACCCCGGCAGCGGGTGAGTGGATCAATCTTCTCCTGATATCGGTTTTTATGAGGTGTCACAAGAATCTTACGACAATTTGACGGCCCTTCCAAAATCCGTGAATTTTCGAGATCAGTTAACTATTTTACCCATAACTTTATCCCTTTTCCGCTACAGGTGGGCAGCTGGTCATTGTGAACGGACCCACTGCCGAGCTGGGCATACATCCCGAGCACTACAACGAGGTGCACGGCTTCGTGCTGAACATGCGCAGCAAGCAGCTGGTGTCCAAGTTCGGGCCCAATAACCTGCAGTTCCAGAATCCCCACGACGTGGCCGTCACAGCCGACGGCAACGAGATCTACGTGGCCGAGCTAAATCCCATGCGCATCCACAAGTTCGTGCACAGATCGCTGGCAAAGCCGATGTCCTTGTCGGCCACCAAGGATCCCGGCAACAGCGCACTGAGTAAGACTGTGGGGGAGGAGCAGGCGCCGTCGACAACGGTGCATCATCCCAGTGGCAAGGCCATCCTCGTGGCCTCGCTGATGCTGCTCTTCGCCGGCTCCACCTTTGCGTTGGCCCTACTTTTCGCCCGACGGAGGAAACGAGGTAACCAAGCGATCAGCTCCGCTCCGCCCAGCGACCTGGTCTACCGCAAGCTGACCGCTTCCAACCAGAGTCTGTGCTGATCTGATCCTCAGTGCTAGCCCCTCACTCAATGTCCTGTGTTGTGCTGTCCTTCACACTATTAGTTACCTGTATTTATAAGTTTGAACTGGCTTACACTTAAGTTTACCTTTGAATCTCCGTCCACATTCCCGTTTTGTTTTGGGTTCGTACTTTATTATTTACAATGAAATTTAAATGTGTTCTGTATTCCTTTGAAAATATATTTTTGTAACTAAATTTATATCGCACTTAGTTTTCCATATTATACAAACCCTTTATTAAAAATACACAAGTGTAACTAAAACATTTACGTTTCTATTTAAGTCTCTTCTGTTTTCGTTTTCGGTTTGTTTCAGTGCACGGCAGAGCGCAGATCTATGCATGAATTCAAAAAAAGGATATAGGATATATCAGTGTTTTAGTGCACCTAAGGCAATCGGTTGTTAATCTCCAATCTCCAACATATCCCACAGGTTGCCTGCCATTCGGAGCTCGCAGTCGTCGCCATGCGTGGGAGAAGAGTGAGGGCTTTAAGTTGGGCGGACTGCTCGATCGGGACCGCAATGGCTTCGAGAAGCTGGACCAGCAGGCCAGCGACGAGGAGCAGGAGACGACGACGCTGGCCAGCGCCCAGTTTGCCTAGGCGAAGGACCAAGACTTACGCAAGCTAACGAAGCATTCCTAGTTCTAACTACCTGTACCTCATGGAACTACGGTCTTAGTTGTACTCGAGCTATGTGTGACATTTAGTTGTGATTTTAGTTTTTGTTTTAAAGGGGTGCATTCCGCAGACAATTCCGATTGCGGAGTAGATATTTTTGAATATATAAAAGGAGGATATATGTTAAGTAACATTTTTAAAGTTTCCTTAAAATGCGATAGGTTTTAAAAAACACCAAGCAGTTGTTTACTGGTATTTTATAATGTTTGGATTTCCAAAGGTACATAAATACATATATGTAAATTCCTAAGCCTTATCCAAACTCCCAGACTTTAGTCGTTGACCTTTTTCTCTTTGTACATTAATATTTATAAAGGTAATGAATTATTATTTTAGGAAAAACAAGAGCCTAAAAATGTAGTCTTTTTATAAATGTTTTATTGACCCGATCATGAGCTCGAAAATATCTGAGATATAGGTCCATCCATTTTTAATTTGTAATAATTGATAGATTTAAATCGAAATTCTCTGCCGAATGCCCCTCATCTATTGACTTACACTGCGATTGATTTGCCAAATGGAATATAGTCTTATGAATCTGTCATAGTTTGTGTACTTTGTTTATTCAATGTCTGCGGCTAAAACTTAACTAGAATTCGTTATAAATATGTTGATATTGCGTGTTGATTGTATCGACTAATAAGGCCCCATAGTGGCGAATATGTCTGCACCTCGTCCTCGCCGCGGATTGTCCAGATCCCAGAAGACCAATACTTCAGCTTCTGGCTGACAATCAGACAACCTGGGCAAGGAATCCCTCGTTCTCCTCGGTCACGATAGCATCGATGTTGTAGAAGATGGCATGCATTGCAATCACAAAGCAGGAGGCGCCCAGTGTCCAAAAAAGAATGGAGCCCGCGCCCACCAAAAAGAGCACGGGCGCAGTGGCCAAGTTGAGGGCGATTATCTGTTGATTGGGCGTCAGTTGGTGGCCCACCACTGTGATGTTGCTGTTGCGCACCCGCAGTTTGTGGCAACCAAAGGCGGCGGCCAAGATGACCAGCAGGATGCAGGGCGCCGTGATGCTGGAGGGAATTCACAAGGTATAACTATTAGTTAGGTGGCTCTAGCTGGGCACTAAGATCACTCACAGGCAGTAGATCATCAGGACGAAGAAGATGAAGATGTAGTTGGCCTGGAAGTAGGAGAGATTCCGCAGGATACGGTTGTTCAGGCGCTGCATGCTCACGGCCGACTTAAAGTTGTTGATATTGAAGAAGACAATCCAAGGTCGCAAAGAGTTGCGCACCATTTGGAAGATCTGCAGCGGCGATGGCAGGTTGGACAGGCTGGGCAAACTATGTGGGGAAATGATATGACGTTAGATCAGATGCCTTCAAGGGTTGTTGGTCACTCACCTTTGAAGGTCCACGGAGAACCTGCCTCCCGATGGCGGTGGCGGCTGCATGTTTCCGGATAGATTTCCGCTGGTTTGGGCCATTTCGAGCGCGCTTTTTCAACCTTTCGTTAGCTCTTTCCCCAGTGACACGTCTTCGCTGCAATTTGCGACTATTCTTCTACCAAGTGTGGGCGTTCTACAAGTGTTGTGTGTATCTTCGATTTCGTTCCACTTGGTTCGAGAATTGTTTTTCGGATGCTGCGGCGTTTGGGGAGCAACGGGCACTTTCCCGGACCCAATGCTACATGGAGGTGGGGCGACACACAAGACTGCTTCTGATGTTGCTATCACAATTTACTCTTAATTTGCTATGACATTGTTTTTTCTGTTAAACAGTATACAAAGTTTTAAAAAATCTGATGTGGCAGATAATTCTAGGATTGCCGTGACAGAAAGTGTGACCAGGCCTGTTTGTGTGCAAATCGACTAGAGCATAACACTGAACAAAATGTCATAGTCTGAACATTGGTAAAATATGTAAACACATGGAAATATCTAAACAAAAAAATTGTATCTATAATTTTGGAAGCTTAAAATATTATATTATATTATTTCTGTTGAAATGTCAAATGCTGTTCTACGTAATTGAAGTAATTATACATACCTTAATACCTATATAACACCTGATCAATTTTATATATAGATAGTTATAGTTTGAAACTAGGTATATTTAATGAAAAGGTATGACGTATCAAGTATTCAACGGTTAGACAGACTATAGCTTGACAGTTTTATTGGTATGAGACAGCCAGCTTCAAAATATGTGCGTTTAAATCACTCAAAAGCAAATATCGTTAGCTGTCATTCAAATGTGTATTATGAATATTCGATAGCAACTGCCTATCGGCCGCTTTGTTTGCACATTTCCCAGCACCTGCAGTTTGGTCACACTACAAGTATTCTGCAGATTTGGTTGGTTTTGGAAAATTCCCGAAATCGCTGCGAGGCTGGAAACGAAGTGGATCCAAGCACAAACCCATCCAAAAGCACAAATCCCTCAAATATATAGGAATCCGGAGATATGGCCGACGACTGGGGTGAGTTTCCTGGGGCGGGGGCGGTGCGTCATCTTCGGCGGACAATAAACGTGGTCGCCGTCGTTGTTGTTGTTGTTGGAGTGCCATGCAACCAGCCTTGATGCTTATTTTTAGCCCCTGCCAACTAACCGTATTCGAAACCCCTGTAATTTTCAGATTTAACTGTGATTCATCTTGTAATATTTCAGAATCCGCAGCAGACAGTGAAGTGTTGATACGACCTAATGCAGCCGCCAGCGTAAACAAGTGGGAGGGCGAGGACGAAGACGAGGACATCAAGGTGGGGCCACTGAAAACCAAACAAAACCTAAATCGAAACCGAAACCGAAAGCATTGCAGTATGCGGATGTAGTCAACCGCACAACAACAACAACAAAAGCCCGGAGCCAAAACTTGTTTTCGTGCACTCTCGGTTTCACTTTCATTTCGCTGTACACGTGTGCACTTTCGGATCAGACTCAACTTAATCTCTTGCATTTTCCCACTCACAGGACAGCTGGGAGGATGAGGAGGAGAAGAAGGACGAGGAGAAGCCCACAAAAACAGAAGCCCCAGCCAAGCCAAAGCCGAGCAAGGCGCTAAAGGCCAAACTGGAGCAGCAGGCGGTAGGATATTGCAAAAGCAAACTTCCCAGACTGGTTTACCATATCATAATCATGATCTCCCACTATAGCGCCTCGAGGAAGAAGCGGAAGCGGAACGACTGGCCAACCTCTCGCCCGAGGAGAAGCTGGCCGAGAAATTGCGCCTGCAAAAAATCCAGGAGGCCTCCGATCTCAAGCACGCCCAGGATGCATTTGGCGTGACGAGTACGAGCGATGGTGGCCTGGAGGCATTCAACCCGGAGAGCAAAGAGGAGTTCAAAGAGTTCGGTGCCACGCTCAGTTGGAAGGTGTCCCAGTTCCGCGAATCGGAGCACTTTCCCCAGTTCGTTGAGGACCTGGTGCGCAGCCTGTGCGTGAACCGTGAGTGATCATCTAGCTTATGCTTAGACAAGCCTCTAATCTGATCTGATTTTCCGTCTTATCAAGTGAGCGCCGCTGACATCAAGAAGGTCAAGATGAACGTGGAGATCTTGCACTCGGAAAAGCTCAAGCTGGAGAAGGCCAATGCCAAGAAGCCCGCTGGCAAGGGCAAGGGCAAGGTCACGTTGCGCACCGAGAACGACGTAAGTCCTTGGATCCTCCTCTGAATATCTAGCAGGTTATTAAATCAACACATTCTTTTGCAGGACATTGATGGGTATCAAAAGTACGGAAATGACTTCACCGAAGATTATGACGACTTCATGTGAATAGGATCTATATTGTAGCCCGCATATATCTAATTATTGAAAACATAGTTGCTTGTTGAAGAGTTCTTCTTGTTAGAGATGCTGCGCAGGAAATTGAGTCCTTTGTTGAATATAAAATAGCAGAACCTATATAAATATGTACATATATATTTATATGACCATACAGAACACAAACAAAAAATCCAGTCAAGTCAGGCAATCAAGAAACCTCAACGAACACGCAAATCCAATACCAAACCGAAGAAATACTTAGGCAACTGACTGCGTATGTCGTATTCGGAATGGCTTCTTGTAAAATTAACTTTTGTATAAAGAATAAAACTACAGAACGATATTAAACGGTAGATGCAAATCTCTTATTTCGTGGGTACTGATAGCATTATCAGAATTGGAAGCTTAAACCGTCTGGCTAGATTTTAAATAATTAATATTCATTAACATTAACTTTTATTATTTTATTAGTTTTATGCGGCAATATGAACTTCATTTGAGCTAGCTTTATTTATATATTTGTAAATTTTCTAAGTTTATTTCGATTTTTAATATATTTTGACCTTTTAAAAAATTCCCGCCCAAATTCAAGTGATGTTTTTTGATGGGCAAGAAGAAGCATTACAAGCATTGTTGTTTGGTTAAAAAGTCTAGAGAATTAATAGCTAAATAAAAAATGGTCCCTTAAAGTAATAGTAAGTCAGTTTACTTTCCGGTTAACTTATTTTATTTAAATAAACAAATTAATAAATATTCTTTGCATCTGCGTAACTCACTCTGTCTCACTATTGAAACATTCTCACTTTGATAAATTGTAGCTATTATCGATTTAGCTCTAAACTAGCTAGATGCCCATTGCTGGCGTTATTCGATACACGTGCGGAGGAATCAACAACAGCCAAAATGAGTGATTTTAACAAGTATTGCCAAGGTTTAACTATATTTTAAGCCTTAAAATGCGGACAACTAAATCCTTGCTCCTTGCAGAAGCTGCCCTCGAGGAGCTGCCCAGTTCGGAGGACGAGGAAGACATCGGCGACGAGGACACCTGTAGCGCCCAGGATTTGGCTGCCCAATTCCAGTTGCAGTACAAGCCTCAGGACGAGTGCAGCGTTTCCTTGCAACGTGACTATGTGCTTAGCCTGTCCGCCGACCAGGGATTCAATCGCGTTGCCGTCGGATTGTCCAGTTCCGCGGTGCACATCTACAATCTGGATGCTGGAGCGGGAAAGCTTTCCAACTTCAGCTTCCTGCCGCCCACGGAGTCGAATGAAGTGAGCATTTGTGGCGTTCGCTTCCTCGACGATGGACCGCACAACATCCTCGTGGGCACCACCGACGGCTATGTGCGCCTCTACGATCTGCGACAGAAGGGCGAACAGGCCAGGTTCAAATACACCCAGCATCAGTCGGTGGCTCCGGTGCCCAAGTCGATATCCTGCTTCGACAGGAACGCCAACGGACGGATCGTCTGCTGTGGCACCAACCAGTTTCACAGCAACGTCTTTCTGGTGTTCTACGACGTCCGGGAGCGACGGCAGATGGGCGTGTACTGCGACAGCCACGAGGACGACATCACCTCGGTGCGGTTCCATGCCCAGAATCCGGATATCCTGTGCACGGGTAGTGTGGATGGCCTCATCAACGTCTTCAATGTCCAGGAGGCGGACGAGGATGAGGCCCTGCTCAACACCTTCAACACAGAGAGCAGCGTTGCCCGTCTGCAGTGGCACAGAAATGTCTACGACAAGGACATCATATCCTGCATCACGACCACCGGCGATTTCAAGAGCTACGAGAGCGAGGAGGGCGACGAGGTGTGCTCCTTTGAGCGCCCGGATGTCACGGCGGCAATACGGCGCAAAAATGCATCAAACTTCAACTTGATCGGTGCCCACAACCAGGAGGACGGAGAAGTCTTCCTGCTGGCGGGTACGAATTTCAACAAGGGGTGAGTTTTTTTGATAGGCTGTTGGCAAATATCAAACTAACTTTCCTTCTCTTAGGGAGATCCTGCGCTCCGTGAGCGTTACCACCAAAAATACCCTACAGCCACTGGCCAATTTTCAGGGCAACAAGCAGATCGTGAGGGAGAGTCTCTACGATTCCAAGAGAAGATTACTGATAACGGGTGGCGAGTCCGGCATTGTCACGGTTTGGTCGCAAGACTCTAGTGGAAGTGCCGTCGTCGGTGACAAGCTGAAGGTCAAAAAGGAGAAGAAGTCTCGCAAGCAGGCGCCATATTAAATGTATTTGTTTTAAATAAAAGTTTACTGAATTAAGTATTTCAAATTTTGTGTTAAAGTCTGGCAGCTCTGGTGATTGGCTTGACAAAAGGTGGCTGTCATAAAACTATCTGGCTGCGACTACGTAATAACGTAACGAAGTGCGTTAACAAAGTGTTGCATACTTTGTGGTACTGCCTTTGACTCAAATGTAGAATGTATGTAACTTGCATGTATAATTTAATTTGAATTTATTTTTAAGTAGTTTTGCATGGAAGACAGCATCCTAAGTTTACGTATAATTATAAAAAGAATTTATAAAAATCATCCCCTGAAATACAGGGCCATGAACCTGTCCTGTATGAAAGCTGCTCAACTGCAGCTTAAGCTCGTAAAAACTTTTTAGTATTCATGGTTTCGGCATTAACGATGCCAATTATGGCAGCGTTTTATTTAGCTTCACTGTTTTTTTTTTCTTTTTTAGCTCTTGGGAGAGCGGCAGCGACGCCGGCAGAGGAGAGATGGGCGTGGTCGCTGCCCCAAAAAATGGGAGCCAACTCCATGGAAACGCCAGACGGAGTCCACCAATCGGCGTCAAGTCTCTTGCTCGCGAAGAGCGCCTGCGCGAAGAGAGGGAAAGTGCGCGAGCGGAAACCAGTTTGTATCTAAAACAAAAAGAATAAAAAAGAGGTGGTGGTGGGGGAAGTGGGGGTTGCTGATAAAGATGGCCGTCGCCTTCCGCGGCAGAGGATGCAGCAGAGCTGCGGAATCGCCTCAGACTCAAAGTCACAATTATGGGGCACTCATTCATTGCGGTGTATGATGCAAACAGCGCCCCGGCCGCGCCCCTTTCACCACACTTTTCCGTACAGTCGAACGTCTTTAACTCGAATAAAATACTTGGTTTTACACAAGTTAGTCGTATACTCATAAAGTCAAACTTTCGTAACTCGCATTTCTGTTGGGTTTCATTTTGATCAGACTTTCAGCCATAAGCCCGCAGTGTAGGTACATCGATACTTTTTTGGGAATTGGCTAATTTTTATTTAGCTTATTTATCTTAATAGTGTATATCTGATTAAAACTAAACAACGTTTGTTTTTATACACCAAACAAGAAGTCACAAAAACTAAACAATTGCTACATGAATTTTAATGTTACGATTATGAATTATGAATATTATTTAAATAAATACAATGAAAGTATCCATTCAAAACTAATCTGTTTAAAAAATAAGACCTTAGACTACAGTTTTTGACTCTTCAGTTTAGAAATGAAACTAAAAACAATAGAGGTTATATTATTGAGTAACAGTAATGTTGAACTTTTTTTCATTGTCTTTCGTTATATTTGTTGTTATTGAGCTAAAGTAACAGAAAAAATATTGAAGACATGATTACAATGTTATTTGAGATACTTGCAAAAAAGAGTTTTTAAAATGTTAGTAACAAGATTTCAGTTCAATTTTTAAAACTAAATTTAATTGATGTACCTAACTACAAAATGATTAAAAAAGTGCAAAGGGAAAATACAAAAAAAAAATTAAAGTAGATAGTTGAAAGTCTGGAACTAATCAAATAAGAAAAGATATAATGAATCTATGAACAAAATTTCTTGACTTAAATAATAAAAGTTAAAAATAGCTCATATGGTTATGGTATAAAAAGTATAATGCCAGTTTGAATGGCTTACTGATTATGAAAAGCGGAGTACAAGACAAACATATTTTTTTAGGTTTATTAACAAGACAGTTTCCATTAGTTTTCAGTTACAGATGCTCGACTGTATATCTCGCAGCTCCAATGTGTTTAATCAGGCAGTCAGCGAGGGGGGAAAAGGGGGAGGATGGGTCGGAAAAACCGGCGAAGGAGGAGCGTTCTCCTAGTTGACGAGTTAACAGCAATTAGACGTCGACGCCTCACGCTGGATTCGCTTTATTGGAGGTTTATTGAGCGGAATCTGCAGCAGTCGCTCTGTTTCGCTTTGCTGTTTGTTGTAATTGTTTTGTTCGGGGGTGGTTGGCCAGAGCATTGAGGGGGTGGGAGAGGAGAGGGGAATGGAGGGTGTCAGTTCACCCGCTGACATTAATTGGTTGTGTACGAGCCAATTTGGCGTAAAAGGCGCTAAATTGATTGCCCTGCGGTTTTAATCGATGCGCATTCATTCCAAATCACGCACATTTATCACCCGTTGAACCACCCACGCATCTCCCCCTTTATTCTTTTTTGGTTTTGTTTGGTATGAGCATGAGATATAGAGATATAGAGATACATCTGCGCTGTTTTATAATTGCCGGCAATTGCTGACCGTCCGGGTAATTAACTGAAGCTGCCTAAATCAAAACAGAGGCTGCCTGTTTCTGGTTGATCCTGCCGATCCTGGCCATATGAAAACCCGTTATATAACCGGACCGCACTTTGGCGGAATTCGCAATGCTACCTGGCCAGCGTGTTTCGTCCTTTCGCCGTTTTTTATGCCGTATGCCCCGTAGTTACTCGGAAGTCGGAGCTGTTTTTTAGCCAACGGATTGGCAAGAGGTAAAAAGGATAAGGCTAGGGCTAAGGATTTCCGCGGAACTACAGCTCGTAGGGTTATGAAATTTTACGCAAGCTGCTGCAACGCGAAAAAAAAACGAAGGATGTCGAAGGATGCGTCAAGGACTCCGGAACAAAGGGGTTCTGCCGGCTCCTGAAAGGATTTAGCAGGAAGTTTCGCCCGGCCTCGCAGGATGTCCATAATTGCACGCAATCAGCGCATAATCCCCGCATCATCTTCGCAATTTGGCAGAAGAAAAACTTGGCCCAAACAATGCCGCGAGTTAGGGCTAAAAAAATATGAGAAAATAGAAGGCAAAATGGAAATTTGCTGCCGACTTGTTGACTTTGCAGCCTTGAGACACTGGCTATCTGCATCCTGTGGGTGGACAGGTATGCCGAAAGGATTTGATGCGCCCGCCCCCGCGCATCCAATCGGGCAACTTAATTGCCAGAAATTCTCAAAACAAACGAACCCAAACAAATAAACAGAAAAGGGGGAGAAAGGATTGGATTGGACTCACTCGATTTGGTTGACTTGGCTGACTTCTCTGACTTCTCATTAGGCCCGAACCAGATTGACTTTCTGCGGATCATCTGGGGTAATCGCAGTTAATCCGGTTACTCTGGACCCAGGACCTCGCAAGGATTAGGGGCGGAGCAAGTCCAGAAGTCAGTCCAGCAAATGCGAAAGGATTAGACGGATTGTAGAGTAGAGTAGAGTAGAGTAGAGTAGCAGGTCAGGTCAGGTCAGTCGGTGCAGTGTCCTCGGCGGTTTCTGCTGCGGGTTCCGCCCAGCCGGCACGCCCTAATCCGTTTACGCCTCGAAATTAATGCAAACATTTAGAAGGATTATCGCCCTAAAGGGGTTGACAGGGTCCCCGGTCCATGGCTGGCATTCAAATTCGCGCGAACTGGCCATAAAAGCATGATAGGATTGCTAATTCGCCGCTACTTGTTGTCCATTCTGCGGCCTTTGTTTGCCATCGGATTTGCCAATCGCGACTGCCACTTGGCTGCGGTTCCCTTTTCTCCTTTCGCTCCTTTCACTCCTTTTGCTCCTGACTACGGCGTATCAAAAGCAGCGGCACAATTATGCATTTCAGGGAAGTGATTAGGCCACAGATTAGAGCCAAAGAGTTGACAATATTTGTGGATTAGTCTCGGACTTGCCACCCGGGATCGGTGGCAGGTATCATACATATGTGTTCCTGCTTATCATTACTGAGTTGTGACACTCTATGCAGATCCTCATGCCGATTCCGATTCCGATTCCGATTCCGATGCCGATGCCGATTTAGATCCCCCTTTGATCTTTCCCCCTTAAGGACGAAACCAGGAAGTGGCGGCACTTACTTCCGCAGGACATGGCCTCAAGTGGCCGGCCAAAGGATCGCCGCGATCTCAATTAGCAGGCGCCACGAAATGGGCCCTCGAAATGGGCCACCATCAGTCAGTCAGCCAGGCAGACTTAAAAAAAGAACGCTACACAGAGAGAACTCGGATGTTCTCAATTGAGTTGAATATGTGTTCAAAGCAAGAACGAAACTTTTGCGTACAAAATGTTCTTAATGTTCCTGAATCAAGTTTAATTGATTTCTGAAAGGTGGTTTGTTTAAAAATATTCTCAAAATAAGAACGCCGTTCTTTAAACAAGAACATTTTGTTCCTAAAATGATTGGACTAGGGGTTAAGTGTCTTAGAACATTAAATATTGAGTAAGTTATTAAGAGCCCCCTGGTTCAAATTCTAGACAAGGTAATTAATTTATACCGTTTTTTTAGTTTTTATGTCTTCTTATCAAGTTTTTTGATTACAAACATATTTCTTTGAATTCTTATCAGCACTTAGTTAGATTAGTACATAGCCAAAGTTGATGCCAGTAGGGCGCAACCGGTATAAAAAACTATTTTTTTTTGTATAATTCAATACCAACATGTTCATAAGCCAAACCCCATTAGTTAGTGAGTCAACACAAAAATGCTCTTAAAATAAGAATATTCGTGCTTACACGGCTTTTAAGAACGACTGTTCTTGGTTTTCTCTCTCTGTGTAGAAAGGGAGCTGCTGATCCGGACCACCATATACTGATGCCATATATGCTGTAATATATATCTTAAGTGCCTGAGAACTGTGAAGTGAAGCAGCAATTATGTTGTCGTCGCTTTGATCTGCTGCCTGCCACTTGGAGTTGCAGATACGCAGATACAGATACAAATGTAGCTGCGGCTGCAACTGTGGTTAAACCACTCGCATCCCAAGTCGATTTCCCTGTTTAAGCATTTTTTAATTGTATGCTAATTGATGGCATCCATGGGATATTTTTGGCTTTCCCCCGGATTCCGGACTCCGGATGCCGCACTCTATACACACCACCAGCTGCCAAAGGGGATGAGTGGGAGCCATTTTGAGCAGCACTATATCAAAAAGTTGTTTATTCATCAGAGCAACAGATACAGATTCAGATTCAGATACAGATGCAGATATCTAGATGTAAATTTAGGGAAAAGCGCTTAGTGTTTT